AGCCTGTGTACAGACCCCCCCCCCTCCCATCCGACTTTTATGGGGCCTGTACACAGGCTAAAGATTGATGTCAGCATTTCTGAAAAATTCCATAAGAATTTCCCGAGAATTCCCAAGGAAATCAACGTAAAGTAATCGGCTAAGAGATACTTCTCGTGAAAATTCTAGCCTAGGACTGTGTGGAGAAATTTCGCCGAGGTAAATCTTGCTTTTTCAGGGTAATTTTCGACGGTTTTGTATTCATTTTATTTGATGAATTTAAATGGTATTTCCATCCTCTTTTTGTATTGTTTTTATGCTCTTTCGACCGATTTTTATACTGTTTTCTGACAACTCTAAGGGTATTTTCTTACATTTCATACTGTTTTTGCATTTTTGCATCCTATTTGTGATGTATTTTCATAATATATGCGTGCTATTGCTTTTCTTCTTCTGCGGTATTTTAATACTACTTTCAAAGGATTTTTTATTGTATTTGCAAATACAAGTATTTTACTAAATTTCGAAACCGATTAAACAGCTATTAAAGTATACTTTGAAGCATAACATTTTAATAGCGTTTTAAACAGGTTCAACACCTTTAAAATCAATCCAAAAATATATTAAAAATATATTTTTGCACCTATTTTAAACATTCAAAATAGTGTTGGATTTGGTAAGGGAATTATATAATTTAATGATGGATTTGAAAAAGTCCAATGCAATCTTATCTGGCAGAGAGTTCCACAGCATGGTGGCGGCAAAAAATTTCACCCTACCTCTGCATGCATGAGACGTTTAACTTATTTTTTTGCTTTGCACAAGGGTGACTAGAAAAGTAAGTAAGCAATCGGTTTAGGGCCTGCTTACATGGAGGTGGGGGACTCCAGATAGGTGAGGTAACATGTGGCGGGTCACCCCACGGTATGATGTAAACGTGATCAAATTAAAATGGGAGATTATGTGGACAGGCGGGTTACCCCACCTAAGCGGATTACCTCATCTACCTTTTTAATAACAGGATTCCACATTGTGGCTCTTTATCTGTTACTTCAAATAAAAAATATGTATCAAATGTTTACAATAAAAATATACTGAAAAGTGATAGAACTAATAACGATTAAAAGAGTATTCACAATGATCGTATGAATAAGACTTAAAAGTACAATAAAGATAAGCTGGCCTGTTTCCGGTTCTTTAAGAATTCATTAAAAATTCGCGAACTAAATAGATTAATTGTTAAAAACGGCAGCCGCAGTGTCCTGGAAGGTGCCTCTTTCCAGAGAAACTTGTAATTTGTAATAGCGCCTGAAGAGCGCAAACTTCTACAGTATAGAGACTCTAAGTTTAAATATAAAGGCCACTGCTTAGCGTGAAGTGCTTTAAAAATCAACTTAAGCAAATCAAATTCCCTTCTCTTCTCAGCTGGGAGCCAGTTCAGTTTTAAAGTGTGTCCAATATCATTTACGTACCTGCGATAAACAAAACTTGCGGCAGCAAATTCAATCTTTAGAAGACGTTTTAACAAGTATCCTGGCAAAAGTGAATAGACCGAGTCACAATAGTCTAGCCGCGATAATACAAGCGACTCCGCAAGTCTCTTATGTAGATGGAAGTCTGTAAAATGGTTTAATTTTCGCAATGTGCGTAAGGCTCCATAAGAAGCATTAGCGATGTCCTTGACAAGATCATTCCATTTTAAGTTCTCTTGGAACTCCACTCCCAGTTTCATTGACTCTTTCTAGTTGAAGATTCGACATTTCTAAGTTGAGGTTTTAATCTTTGAGACCATGAAAGCTAGCCATTTGGCTTGTTGATAACAGCATCGACTTAGTTTTTACTGGATTTAGGGCGACATTGGACTTCAAAGTCATATGACTGAGAGAGTTATTAAAATCAGCAACTTTTTGTGCGAAATCTTTAACAAAGCATTCAGTTTGTCATTGATGAGCTGGTCATAAATATTTTATGTCTCACCATTTTTTCGTGTTAAAATCACAGCTTGTAAGGCAACGCCTCACTGAAGACACATTAAACTCTCGGCCATCAATGTTTTCGAGTTAGTTTACAGTGCATAATACACTCCATCAATAGAAAAAATAGAAATGCTTCGCCCCTTGCTATTGTGTGTTTTCACATGACGTCATGGCGGCCATATTTGTGGCCCAAAACAATGAAACGGCGGCCATGTTTGTGTCCCAAACCAGTCCTGTGGGAGTTGAACTCTTTTCTTATGCAAACGCTTTCTTTTGTTCCAATAAATTTGCACAGATGCTAGCCACGTGAGTGAAAACACATAATAGATGACATGACATTTGGCCTACCAATTCGGTGACTTCTGTTTCTACGGAACGACACAGAACATTAAAAATTATTTGTGACGCCTTGAAACTCAACTGCTTCCTAGAATCATCCAAATAATTCATCATCGCAAATTTGTGTTGCAGGGCGCATACATTTTCCTAACGAAAGAAAAAACTCCAATGACATGTTCTTTCCAAGTTGAAACAAAGAACCCGACGAAGGAAAAATTGTCGGTGATCGGAGTTTTTTCACAAGTTGGACAATAACGAGTGAAAAATGCACACGCGCACGTGCAAGAAAACAAAAGTATCTAATCTATCTATATTTCTCTCTATATGAAAACCTTTTTGTCGGAAAACTGTGCACGTGACAATCCCGAAAGGTAATATGGGATATGATCAATACACTGTTCCTGATACTGTAGCCGTCGAACCTACTTTTGTTGCTTTCCTTTAGCACTTGCTAACATACGTCCCTGGCCTCTCTTGCAATTCTTTGAAATTTCTTTGAAAAAACGGTGAACTAAAAACCACCCACAATACCTTTCGGGATTGTCGCGTGCACTTTTTCCGACAACCTTTCTCGAAATAGCTGTATATACATGTATATATCTGTCCTTATTTGCAAAAAGGTACCTCCAGGAATTTTTTAGCAAGTCTTATTTGAGGCTTGTTCAGTACTTGACCTTTTTTTTTAATGATATTTTTCAGTACAAAAATCCCCTAAACAGCTGCAGTAGATAAAGGAAAGATGTGTTTAATATGCTGTTTACATCTTACCCAACCCCCATCCCCCCCCCCCCCCCCCCCCCCCCCCCCCCCCC